TAGGATAGTGATGAGAAACTGTTGGATTTTGTCACCAACGCCTACATACTGGTCAGTCCAAACTTCAACAGTTGGGATCACGCTAGCAGGTCAACGCGTGGTACCGGAACTGGCAATGTCCACTAGCCAGACCGCCCACGCCTTACAACTGGAGCCAAAAGGAAAAGTAAAAAACGCTTTGATGTGGCAAAATTACAACCTAGTGCCTAGTGTCATCTTAGGCCGGCTTCGGAGCTGGAAGCAGATGCCGACCATTCTTAAATTCTGTCATGTCCACCAGCAACCGACGGTCGTCTGTTTTACTGAATTTACCGATGCCCTCGACTCCGTCGTCCACTGTTTGCTGCTGTAGCGGATAGCGTACGGTAGGCCGGCCAGCGTCAGCCGTGACCCGGGGTCAACTATCGCTACACTGCGGCGCGAGTTTTGATTTAAAACAACCTATCGCAGTTGCTCGATGCTCGGTCTGGCGTTAAACAGGATTGCAGCTTGTCACGCACATCTTATCAAACTATGTCTTTTGCTTAACTCTCGAAAAGGGGTCTACACGTGGTCTTCATTGTGATGGATGTGCACCCGTCTAACTAGTCTCCACTACGCTCAGTCCGACCCTGTTCAACATCTACATGCGGGACCTCCCACTCCTTCCGGAACCTGCGAAAGTGGTAACATATGCGGATGATGTCACCTTCCTCTGCCAGCACCATCACATTGATCAGGTTGTGCAAATCCTCTGGGAGTCCATGTCTGATGTCGAGCACTTCTTCACTGAGCGCGGGTTGACGATCTCGGCAGCCAAGTCGTCTGTCACTGTTTTCACACTGGACCTGTTCGCAACTCGGCCATCCTAATCACCATCGTTGCCACGCTCCTGAGCCCAGCCGCAACGTTCGGCCGCCTATTCGAGCTCTTCAAAAGGAAGTTGTTGCCTCGTCTCTCTCGTATCTGCCCGTTGATGGCCCTGCCACCAAGACAGGCTTCCAGCGTCATCACCAGAGTGCCGTTCTCGAGCAAAAACGAGGTTATCACCCCACGGTCATTTTGGGCGGTTATCCACCTCCGATTTTAGCCTCAGAAAAACAACTCGCTGTACCTTGGCTCAATTACGCAGTGGCTACTTCTTCGTCAGTACCAACACCGGCTCGACCCGTC